CACCGGGTCCGGGACATGAACCATGGTCGACTACGTGGGAGTCCAGCGACACAGCCATTATGCTAACTGCTGGTTCCCAGTTTGTTTTTTGTTTTTTTAAAAAAGGCTTTTGCCTTAGGGCATGTGCTCCTGTGGGGTGAGGGAGACACAGACACAGTGAGAAGGAAAGTGAGAAATGACCCCCCCACCCTGGGGGATGGGGGGTGGCCAGGCTGCAATCCCTTTTCCTCCATTCTCCTCCTGGGATCTTGGGCATGCATGGACATGCACCCAGTGCGGGTTTCAAGCCACTGGATCCAGGACTCAAACTGTGGTCGGCTCTGTGGGAGTCCAGCAATGTAACCACTATGCCATCTGCTGGTCACAATTCTTAGCATTTTCCAACCAAATGCCAATTTCTCTTACCTGCTTAAGTGTTAAAGAGACAACTAATTTGATTTTTTAGAAAATAAATCTAAAAGCAATGCATTGGACTACCATTTAAGTGAGAGAGAGCGTGAAGAATGGAGGGGAGAATACAAATAGAAATAAGAAAACAAATAATATGCAAAAAGGTCACTGTAACTAAAAGCATAATCTTTACCACTCACAGGTGATACTTAAAGAGGACAGCAAAGTGACTATTAACTATTCAGTATACTCTTGAAATATATTCCCATAACATGGAAATAACTAAGACAATTTAGAAAAAGGAAAAATAAAGAAGCTTTTCCTTTATTTCCTTATATTTACATTTGAACTTCATAATTTACAATGCATTTGAACATATGTCTCAAGCTATGCAGGAACCTATAAGGCAGGTAGAGGTTACCTACATTTTACAGAGAAAACTAGCCTTCAGGGGCGTTAACTAATTTACCCCAAATGAAAAGACCTGTCAAAGAGCAAACTGTGAACATCTGTGGGGTCCAATATCACATTAGTAGTGCCTTCACAGTCAGTGACCATCTTCATCATCAATTAAATAGTAACCAAAAAGTTCAAATGCATGTGGAAAGACATCACAGCCAGTTGCAATTCAAGGCCTGTATAATAATAATCTTGTAACAAAATTATGGTAGGCTCCAATGTGTTAAAATTATATGTAACAAATTTGGGGGTAGCTATATTTATAGATTATAACTTATAGATAATTTTTTAAAGAAATATTTTATTTCATTAGTTGTTATTATTTTTTTATTTTGACCAGAGAGAGAGAAGGGAAAGCAAGAAAGCAAGCCGCTAGGTCTGGGACTTGAATCATGGCTGACCATGTTGGAATCCAGTGATTTTAACCGCCATGCCACATGCTGGCCCACAATATATAGATAATTTAAAACCTACTTAAAGTTTTAATCCAAGTCAAGCATTTTAAAACCATGCAGCATTGGGGCCAGCAGGTGGCATGGTGGTTATACACACTGGACTCCCACATGACTGACCATAGTTTGAGTCCCAGACATGGTGGCTTGCTTTCTCACTTTTACTCTCTGGTCAAATTTAAAATAATAATATAATAATATTAGTAAATGAAGTTAAATAAAACAATTTTTTTTTAAAAAAAGGAAGCAAAGCATGAAGCATCTTAGGGCTTCATATAAAGTCATTTGAAGACCATTGTATAAAGGTTTGCCATTGCTAAGTGATATTTACTTAAGTCACTTAGAATAAAAATCAAGTAAGGGACCAGCAGTTAGTGTAATGGCTATGTCGTTGGACTCCCATGTTGTCGACCGCGGTTCGCGCCCCGGACCTGGTGGCTTGAAACTCACGCCAGGCGTGTGTGCGTGCATGCCCAAGATCCCGAGAGGAGAATGGAGGAGAAGGGATTGCGGGGTGGCCATCCCTCCTGGGGGGTGATTTCTCGCTTTCTGTCTCTCTGTCTCTGTCTATCTGACTGGTGAGCGCACGCGCCCTATGGCAAAAACCTCCCCCCCCCCAAAAAAAAAGAACGGAAAAATCAAGTAAAAAAACTGCCTTTGGCAATCGAAAATATACAACACAATAAACTTCATGAATCAGGCAGAATATAGCTACTAATTCATTACCAAAGTGAATCTATCCCATTAGTTGAATCATGTAAAAGAGATATTATCTGACAAATTAGAGATAAAAATGAGGTTCATGTGGTTCAGTCCTACCCATTCTGTTTTAATTGGGCAGTATTTTGCTTACAAAGTCATTCAGAAGTTGTCAAAATATGTGATTATAAAAGCAAGGTGAGGGAACCAGCAGTTAGCGTAATGGCTATGTCGCTGGATTCCCACGTAGTCGACCGCGGTTCGTGTCCTGGACCCGGTGGCTTAAAACTCACGCCGGGCGCGTGTGCGTGCGTGCCCAAGATCCCGAGAGGAGAATGGAGGAGGAGGGATTGCGGCGTGACCACCCCCCTGGGGGGTGATTTCTCGCTTTCTGTCTCTATGTCTCTCTCTGTCTGTCTGGCGAGCGCACGCGCCCTACAGTGAAAATCTCTCCAAAAAAAAAAAGCAAGGTGAAAAAAGTGTACTAACCACACAGAGATGTACCGCTGGAACTATCTAAACATAATAGGAATTTAAAATTCCTAATAGGATTTAATTCCTGTTACACTTGCTAACTTACACTGCATAGTTACATTCATTTAAGTAGTACTCACTGCTTAATTCTCAAGGTACATTGGCATAAGCCACCTTTAATTTCCTGGAAGATGAGTGGACTGAAAATTACCTACCTTCCTTCCTGCACTTGGACACTTCATTTTGAAATTAAAGGACCTGGGACCAGCAGTTAGCGTAATGGCTATGTCGCTGGACTCCTACGTAGTCGACCGCAGTTCACATCCCAGACCCGGTGGCTTAAACTCACGCCGGGCACGTGTGCGTGCATGCCCAAGATCCCAAGAGGAAAATGGAGAAGGGATTGTGGCATGGCCATCCCCCCTGGGGGATGATTTCTCGCTTTCTGTCTCTCTGTCTCTCTCTGTCTGGAGAGCGCATGCGCCCTATAGCAAAAACCTCTCCAAAAAAAAGAAAAAGAAAAATTAAAGGACCACATTCATGTAGTTGTCACTGGAAGTTCTTCAGGAAAAAAAAATTACACTTCAAAACTGTATATTCTGCATAGTAAATAGAAGCATTTTTTTATTATTAAAAATTTCACTAAATGACCTCACTCTCAATAGAGTAAGTTACATTTAGTAGGAGTTATGGATTTGAGGATAGTTTTGTTCACTTATTTCTGTGTATGTTTTACCCCTCCATCAGTTTTGCTGACCTAGGTAACCAGATGTGGTTCATTTAATATTTTGGGAGACAGAGCAAAATTACAAAGCACTTCTAAGGGTGACTATGATTTTCACACAATATATAATTTAGTGTTTATATACTGAGTTTGAATTTAGCTCCCCTAAAAATTCTCCCAAACTTCAAAATATTGCAACAAATTAAGCCATTGACAAAGAAAAAAAGGCTTTCTGCCATATAAAGAGGACCCTTCTCTCATCTTTAATGAGGGTTATAAGAGCAAAGGGCAATCCATACTAGATGTGCATGTTTTTTTTTTTCTTCCATTATGAACTACATTGAGCTAAAATTCAAAGTGCTATGACTCACTTGGTTATTATGGGACACTTTATTAAATTGAAAACACAAGATAAATCCAAAGAATTACATTTTGAGAGTTGTAGATGAATTCTACTCACTTAGTCTATTGAAAAAGAAAACATCTTTATTTGTAATAAATTCTTGCATGCCATTTTTAGAATGGTGAAGGGTTTAAAATGTTAGACACTGAGTTCTTTTAAGAGTACTTAAGAATGGCACTCTTAAAAAGCTACAAATATTGCCAAGTCATGTCATAACTGGCTCAAACAATCCTATTTCCATCTAAACTTATTTCATGCTACTGCATGAATCAATATTAAATGCTCTGAACTTACTTAAAACTAGAATCCTGGCAGAGATGTGCACAGCAATTATAAAATATAAAACTGTGAGTACACATTTTCCATGCACTTCTTTTAATAATGGCTAGAAATGAGGATGTTCTTTCTAGGTAAACAAAAAGCTAAGAGAGAAATATAAAGATGTCTCATGCTAGCAAAATGTCATGCATAGAATCACTGCCATAGTTCTCTCAAAACAAAAATAAAATAGATCTTTCGAGCCTAATATTACCTCCAAACATTTTATTAGCCTAAGAATTGCCAGAGTCATTAAAAATGTTACTGGAGTCAAAATAGCATTTTTGGTCCCCTTATTTAATTAAGCACAACTTGCAGTAATTTTAACCAGGCTTTGGCTTATTCCTTTTTTTTTTCATGTCAAAGATATAATATTACTTTTAATGTTAGAAAATAGTAATTTATTTTTTAAAAGCTTAAGTTCTGATGACATCTGGCCTTGCAGTGAAAGAGTTAACATTCAACTAAGCTGATCTGCACTTCTGATCCATTACATTTCTCACAAGCAGCCCTACAATAAGCTGAGCAAGTATCAACTGTAATTTGATACTAGAGTTTATGGAAAAAAATAACTGCACATACTTAACATGCACATTTAATAAAAATCTGTTTCAAGAGAAACCTATGCAATAAACACAATTTAAGGCATATTTAACTGTTCAATTAACTTCAAATCTGCAGTCCCTTGGCTTTCCATAAGCTCTCAAATAAAATAGAAAAAAAAAAAAAAAGCAGCAGTCTTACTGCAGGGAAAAGAGGCTTGAAAAACAACTTTGATTGGCACTTGGCCTGACCCACAGAGGAAGAAAAACAGTTTTTGGACAAAGAGCGCAAATATTTAAGCTTGCTTACTTATGTGCTTTCTTTTTTCTCTTTTTAATACATAAAGAACAACCCCAAAGTGAACTGTGTTTGGAGAAATTGACTAAAAACGGTACCATATTCACCTTGGTCTTTCAGTCCGGGTGCATTTGCACAGCTCAGCAATTTTAATTCATTTGTACTGGACAAACAGAAGCACCTCGCCTAATGTTTCCACTTAATGAAATGTAAAAATAGAGTTTGAAGAAGAATAAACTGATTACAATATTACTCAGGGGAAGCCTTTACAATCTGATTAAAAAACTCTTCTTGGTTAAAGAGACGTTTTTTCATTCTCCCCCTCTCCCCCCGCCCTCACGGAGCGATTAAGCCAAGTAAGCTAAACAATATTGGAGTAAACTTTCTATCAGTCACTCTGGGAAGCAGTAAGCTAATGGTGTGTCTGATTTTTTAGAATCTACACCGGGTGAGGGGGTGCCGAGGAAGGATAACCCACGGCCACTCGGACTCCTCCTCCCCCAACCCCTGCCCGCGGAACGGTAAGGTCGCACAGCACTTCCCATGGGCATAAAGTTCGAGATGCTTTACCAGTTCCTTTCGTGACCGAACTGTAGACCCTGGATGACCATCAAAAGAATGTGAAAAGGGGGTGCCAGGCAGGGAGTCCTGGGCAGGAGCAGCCGAATAAACGAAAACAACACCCGCAAGAGTTGGCCACAGCAAAGAGGGAGCCAGGTTCCCCAAGACCAGTCCAGGGTGCCTTGATTTCCCGAGCGAGGAGGATCCAGCGGGTCCCCATCTCCCACCGCCCGAAGAGCAGACCCGGGCTAGCAAGGTAGGATGGCGAGCGCGCGCGCGCACACACACACACACACACACACACACACACACACACACACGAAAGAGAAAAAAAAAAAGAAATTTTTAAACAGTCTAGGACCAGAGCCTCTGCCCCGGCGGAGACAAACAGCAGCAGCACAAGCCCCGCACCCAACTCACGCCCCCTTTTTCGCTCTCCGCAGAGGGACGGTGCCCGGGGTCCCTCCGAGCCTCCCCCGAGTGCGCCCGGGACCAAGCAGCCCGAGCCCGCCCGGCAGGAAGCGCCGGCCTCGGGCCGGACCCCAGGCCGAGTCCGTACCTTCCGCAGCACTTTCCGGCAGTTAGTACAGAGCAGGTAGTTGGCGGCGGCCGACGGGCTGCTGCCGCCCCGGTTC